CTGCGATGAGACGGACAGACCCAGCCCTCGCGGGCGTCCACCCACCTCCGTGCCTTTGGCACCTTGACTGTAGTCTTGTATTTCCTAAACAAATTTACAGTCTTGCAGAAACGTTATAAAGTGACCCGTGTCTGCCTTAATAGGCTCTTAAAAATATTTTTCTGAACTGATTCTCATAAGGCATTTTTTAACTTATTGTGACTCTCTGGATTTCTGGAACCCTGCCTTGGCTCAGGCTCTCGGTGATTAAATGCCACAGAACAGTGTGTCCTAAAATGTCCATGGTTGCTTGCAGAGAGGAAATATTAGTGTTCTTGTACTCCAGAAAAACAAAACTTTGCTGTCTGAGCGCCAGCATTTTTTTTCTCATCTACATACTTAATCTGGCTTTAAAATATTTTTTTCCATTCATTGTCAGTAGTAAAGTTGGGACATTTAATGCGATTTTTTTCTCATTGCTAAAGCAATGTTTGTTTATTATAGAAAAAATTAAAAATACAAATAAGTAAAAAAATTAAAAATATCTAGACCTTTTTCTATCAAAAAGAATAACATTTATATATATATAATATGTAAGCTTAGAAACTATATTAAATTCCTACCATAATAATTTAAGAAATGTGAATATTTTGAAAAATTAATAATTTCTCATTCATCACTCCTCAACTCTGATGCTGCCTGAGGTTACTAGTGTTAACAGATTGTCATGTAGTGTCTATATCTTTTCAGTACTCATGTATGCATACAAATTTGTAGATGTACATTCACTCTTTTTAAAAAAATTAAATTTTTTTGTTAATCTGCAACATGTTTTCTTTTATTTAACAATATGTCATGGATAAATTGCTGTATCAGTGGATCCAGTGCATTATTTTTGACAACTGTCTCATATTCCATAGTGTGGACATAACTCGTTCAACCCAGTCCTCCATTGACTGGGGGTTTTCAGTATTTTTCTATAAATAATGCCACAATACACATTTTAATATGTATATTATTATTTACTGATGCTTTTTACTGCCATATTTTTAAAGTGTAATTACTTTTTGTTTACAAACTAAACATATTGTATGAATCCTTTAGATTAAAAGCATCTTACAGGTCCTTGGTCCTTTATGCTTAACTCTAAATAAATAAATGCACATATCCAAACTTACACACACGCATGAAAACATGGCAAGTTTCTGCAGGCTTTACAGTTTGTCCCTGTATCATGTCTGGCCTCTGCACACTCCACACCCCAGCGCTAATGCTCCTCCCTTCTACCCCCCACCCCCAACACAGGACTGTGACCTGGGCCTGCAGGGCCTTCTCTGCGACGCTTTCCTGTGATAAAACGTGTTTTCAGGCTGAGTTAAACCCATCTTCTCATGGAAGCTTTCTCTGTTCTCTTCCTCCTTGGGCACTGTGTGATCCCACAGCACTTCCTCTCTGCTGTGGCCCTTTCCTTATTTCTGCTCCCTGCTAAAACGGCAGTGCGCATGTCTGCATTCCCTGCTAGGTCAGGAGTCTTTGGTGGCAGAAACAGCCTGGGCTGATGCCACACCTGCAGACAGGAAAATCTCAAAGAAATGGTGATTGGGTTTGGAGAATTTGCCACAAAATAAAAAGGAGTCACAGCCCAATGCATTTATTAAGGTAGTTTGGGGACAAGATAGCAATATAAGACAATCAGATACGGCATGTGTATTTTTGACTTAATGGGCCTTTTCTTTCATTTCTAGAACAGGGGTCAGCAAACTTTTTTTTTAAAGAGCCTGATGGTAAATATTTTAAGGTTTGGCAGCCATAAGGTGTCTGCTGCAACTACTCAACTCGGCCATGGTAGTGAAAGCAGCCGTAGACAGTGAATAGATGAATGAGCGTGGCTGTGTTCTAGTAAAACTTCATTTATAAAAACAAGCAGTGGCAGGATTTGGCTCATGGGCCATGGTTTGCCAACTGTTATTCTAGAAGGTGTCTAGGTACAGTTAGACTAACACAAGTTAAAGTCAAATTCTAGTTCTCCTTACTGTGCGACTTTGGGGAGGTTCCTTAGCTTCTCTGTCTTTTTGAACACATAAATATAAGATTAGTACTACCTCCTTCTAGTTCGGGGTCTAGCACTGAATGAGCACAGAAATGGTAGTCCCTACTATCACCTTGTGAAAAAGAGGAGAAGCCTAGAAAGAGGGTCTGAGAACATGCAGCTTCTTTCAACTGGAAATAACAAAATCCTAAAGAAACAGCAAGTTGAAAATGGAAAGCAGAGACTATTGGGTGACAGTGGCAGGGCATCTCTAAGTCATGCACACTCCTTTATGGAATAAATCAGGTATAAACAGATAGGTATCTTGACATTTGCTACAGGAACAACAATGCTATTAATAAAAGATTACGAAGATTGTTTAGAGTGCCTGGAGCTATGATGACTATAAAAGGAATGGGCCAGGCTTCAGGGAAAAATTATTGGTGAAATAGTAACACAGACCTAGAGATTTAGATGGAGATTTAGACCATTTTTGCAAAAACACAAACAGAATATTAATCATTCAGGTCCTCAAAACACTTCTCCTCTCCCATTTTACTTTCTTGTTTTGCTTGTTCTATCCGGTTCCTCTTTACCCACCCTAATTCTCTAAACCTTCAAAACCCATCAGTCACCCCCACCCCATTCTCTCCAGATCCACCTGGCCACATCCTCTGCAGGGTACCCTGACTGGCCCAGTGCCAAGCCACATGCTCCCTCCAGCCTCCAAGACTGTTACTGACTGTCCTCTTCTTTTGCTCTGACTTCTCCTTTTCCATGCCTTCCACAACTGATCAGTAATCTCTACGTTATTAGAAGATGATGTAAAGAGTAGAAGGAACTGGGATTTGCAATCCAAAGACTTGAGTTTGTATGCCAGTTCCACAACCAACTCACTGTGTGCCCAAGATGGGGCAGGTCACTCAACATCTCTGAGCCTCAGTTGATCTATTTATAAAGCAACTATCCCTCCCTCCTAGAGTTTTTGTGGAAATGAAATGACGTTAAGCAAGATGAAGAGGCTGGTAGCCTCTTCGAAAGCACCTACCTCCCTTGAGTTCTCGGGAAACAGTGACTGCATCTGAACTGCTCACAGGTTATCTGAACTGCTTGGCCTATCTCCCTGTGATGTAATCATTTGAAAGCAAGACTGGGCCGAAATATACCCCTGATTAATTGCAGTACTTGGCATTTTTAAAAAAAAAGCACTTAATAAATTTATTTGATTTATTTTTAAATTGCTTTTTAAAATATCCATCAAAATTATGTAAGGCAGACTAGCTTCTAGTTTTTTAATTTTGTAAGATAGAACCAAGATATTCATTAGCATACATTGCAGAAGGATGTTTTTAAGATGGTTTGAAAGTCAACTCAAAGTTTCATAAAATTTGTAAAATTGAGGGGAAAATACCCCAAGATTTACCAGAAAACATGTAAGCAGAGATAAAATTGTTGTTCTTTGTTTTTTCTTTTTCCAAATTATTCTTTGCCAAATGGCTGCATAGTCACTCAGGACGTGTGCTGTGCTGCTGGCATTCCCTGGTGACAACTCCCTCCACCTGATACTCGCTGCTTGAGCTTAAGCCCCATTCCTATGGTTTATATTCTTTCCTACAAGAATGTAAACAAATCCTAATGATATATACATGTTGAATACAATGAAAATTATACATATTGAATTAGTGAGAATATTCTACACATTTCTGTGCATGTCCATGATGCATAAGAGTTTTTATACTGTTTTTTAATATATTGTTTCACTAAGTGCTCAGAACAACCCAGGGAGGCAGGTACTATCTCCGTTTCACAGGTTGGAAGCTAAGACTCCTAGTGTTTAAATACCCACTCTGGGTCACAGACCTAGAGGTTGGGTCCTGGGCATGATCCCAGGTTTTCTGCACTTGCCTCTCCTTTGCAGTGCAGGTGATTAACTTCCTGCACTTAGTATGCGCCACACTAGCCAAGGAGGACCTACTGTGAGGTCCAAAGATGGGATTTCAGTAGAAGGTCTTTATCAGTTTCTTCCCTTCTTGATTGAAACGTCTTCATGATTAAGAGATATCTAACTGATAGAGTATGTTTCTACCATGACATACATGTATAAACATATAAATAAACATGGATGAAATTACCTTGAATTATGTACAAGTCATTTAGGTTTCTGTGTAGGGTTTTGGTAACTGAATCAGTTTCCTCATCCAAAACAGAAATTGAAACAGTACTCACATGACCAACTCAAAGGCTTGTCAGTGATAATAAAATGAGAGAGTTGCTGTCTAAGTGCTATAAGAAAATGCATGTGCAAACAAGATATTGTAATTTCATCAAAATCATAAAGATATATAAATAAATTAATCAATTACCTCGTAAGTTCTGTCTACTGAAAATTAATTACTAGCTAATTAGCAACTCTGGCAAATTTTTATTTTACAAACTTCCATACTCATTATAAAACATAAGCCTCAAGTTTTAATAAAGTTCCACAGTGAAAGAGTTACAAAATTAGGCTTTACTACATACTGCAGCACTTTAAAGTTAATTAATTTTCTGACACTCAGCAATGTAACTAAATTACTTTGTACAGTTGTTTGAGCACAGTGTCTGTAATCTTCTGATTAATATAGTAAGCGCTAAGGCCATCAGTAGTGATTATTTGCCCAACCCCCACACCATCGCCACACATCCCTGAGAGCTTCTCCTCAGAATCTGAAGGGATTGTTCTCCAAAGTTTCAGAACGTTTTTACTATAATAGAATGAGGGGGGAAAAGACTTTTAAGTTTCAGGTTTCAGAGTCCAAGTTTCTGAACAAAAGTGTATTTTCTAAATCTTAAACTGAAGACAAATTCTAACAAAGCTCTGTGCAGCAAAATAAATACCTGCCGGTTCACTACTGTTTACCCTGTGGTTTCTATTTAAATTTGTGCTGCTGTCATGACTTATTCCTACCTCACAGGATAATGAATCTAGATTTTATTTCTGTTCTTTGCCCAGACTTGTACAGCAGGCAAAGTGTTTGAAAATCAAAGGAAAAGAAGATATTGACTTGGATAATCTCTTCAGAGGTAAAAACAAAAACACTAACAAAAACACAGAATATACTTTTTGTTGTGCAGAATGTCTTATTTGTTGGACTGTGTGGTCTTATCATTCCCGTAGGGAACTGTGGAAAGAACCTGGCCCCAAGTCAGGAGACTTGTGTTCTGGTCCCAGGCCTGAGAATATTAAGTCCCATCACTTCACTAGGCGAAGCCTGAATTTTCTCATTTTTGAAATGAAAGGACTGGACTCTATAATCTCATCATAGGACAGATCTAAACCTGCAGAAGTCAGAGTCTCGGTGGTTGAATCCCTCTCTGCCCTTTGCACAGGCCACGGAGGGAAACCAGGATGTCTCCCTGCATTTGCGAGGTCGGGAGGCTGGGAAACAAGCCTGGTTATAAGACAGGCAAGGGGATTATTGGGAAGAAAGTTTAACCAGAGCTGAGGAATTTGTGGAGTCTAGGAAAAAGAATTGCTTGTTTTCATTTATTACACTTATGTTTCTTTCCGGTGAAGGTTCAATATAGACAGAATTTTTAGGGTTTTTAGATTATCTTGCAGCAAGCTAAGGAATAAGTTGTGTGTAGATTGCGTTATTTTAGTGCAAAAATTTGATGTAGTCAGACGAAAACACTGATAATCTCTAATTAGTATCCCATATCTTCAGCCTTGGTAGTTCTATGTATTTGTATCTGTGGAACATGATAGATCCATCTACCTTCCAGAGGAAAGGGAAAGTAGTGAGTTTTCTGCTGACCTGGCCAGAAGTGCAGCAAATGAGCACAGTGTGGTGGCACTGCTCTCCACCTCCAGCACAACTGCCCGCTCAGCTTTTCTTAACAAAAAGAGAGTTTGTACTAGCAGTTGTTGAACAAAAGGGCTGGGAGGTGCATGAGCAATGCCAAACTGCTCACTTCATTCGGGGGAATGAAGCTTGTGTTGGAAGAAGTCTAGATCATCTCAGCCACGGAGAGGGAGAACCTTTTCTCAGAAAACAGAAAATGGAGGGCAGTGACGTTACTTTGGTTTCATTGTGCAGCTACATATTTCCCTGTCATCAGAAGAATTCCTGTGTCACATAACCGGAGCTGAAGCTTGCTTTAAATAAAATAAAAAACTGATATTTTAGAAACTGTTTCATACAAATGTTCTCATCCATTTCACCAAACCTTCATTCTGTAAACAACATGTTTTGGAACCATATAAGAAGCCTTAAAAAAAAAGTGCTGGTGTTTTAATTCATATTTTGACAGTTTTGAAAATATCTGCACAGAGTAATTATGTATATGTTCCTGCTAAAACAGATACACAATTTGGTAGTTCACATAGTAAGAGTAGTAATGAGGATCATCCTTGTAAAAATAGAAAATATCACTAGCAAAATTCATTTGCATAATGTGAAAGATGAAATCTCTTCCAACTTGCTCAGAATGCACTTGTTCTTTTCTGTCTCACTTATAAGAAGTTTATGCCCATATGTTTTTATTTATTTGTTCATTCACTGTGCTCTTTAATTTAAACATACCGATTTCCTCGCAGTAGAGGCGCGTGGCAGCAGACAGGGCGTTATGGCCGCGGTGGGCAGCCCACCTTGCGCAGAGCACACGGCGGCGTGTGGCCGGGAACACCGTGTCGGGAAGTGCAGTCAGGCTCATGGTATCTGTGGAAATTGGCAGGCTATCCTTGGCACCTGCTTTCTAGTCCAGCCTTTTGTCACCCGAAGTGACTCTTCCTCGTATGGGACTATTCCCTGTTATTATAATTAATCTCATTTGCTCTGACTCTAACCTGGATGGAAGAAAATAATGAAAATAAATATGTTACTACTGTGCTATTAAATAATTACTTAATATTTCCCTTTATTTTACTTAAGCCTATAAATCTGGAAAAAGTAGGCTACAATTTGTTCTCCATTTCTCCTTTAAGGGGAGATAGAAGTAGTATACACTGGATGTTTAGACATTGAGTACACACATGTATACATGCACAAGCAGCTTATGTTTTTCATATCTTGGGCATGTTTTAAGTTTTTATGTAAACATCTTTATTTTCTAAAGCATTTTATTCTAAACATATATACTTGGCATATGTAATTTAAAAACCTTTTAAAGGCTGCCCATTATTTTCAAGTATAAGTCTTTGAGATTCACACTCTTTTCTTTCCCATAATGACATATATAAATAAGATCAGGTGACAGAAAATTTTAATTACTTTATAATGATATAAATTTGTTAAGGAAAGCGTGATTATCTTGAAAGGATGTTTGGTAGTAAAATTGACAGGAGTAAATTGGAGTTTGTCTCTGTAAGCCAAAGGTTTACAGATAAGCTTATGGAATGTTACACCCAGGACCTGACAAGTGGTAATTGTCCTTTGTGCCTTTTGCTAAGTAAAATAATACATGAACATAGAGCTGATGCGTTCAGTGACATCGTGAGTCCCTTCTCCAGGGTGAAGCTGGGCTTCTAAGCCTTTCAGGTTTTTACCTTTGCTCAGAGAGTAGTCCCCAGAGAATGGGACAAAATTTGCTCCTTGAACACAAGTTGAGTGAGGCTAATTAAAGTGCATTCTCATTCATGGTAAAGGATCTGCTCATCTAACTGCTATGTCCTTCGGCCCCATTGAAAGCTCCTTGGTACCTCAAACAGATGTCACTGTCAGGGCAACTGCATCACACCAATGAGGAGACTCATTTGGAATTGTAGAAAGTTCAGGTGGGAAGTTGTTTCTTTTAAAATATTTATCATTTTTGGTCTCAGACATTTAACTAATACTTATTTTTTCTTAAATTTCAAAATTTCATAAAGTAAAAAATATTAAAAGAGGTAAACATTGTTAATAAATCTTTCATAGATTTATTTTGGATATAATATTTTATTTTCTATGCCAGTTTAGAATCATATTCTATTTGGTGATCTACAGTTAGCTTTTTTCCCCTCTCACTTATTGACATGGTATGATTACCTCTCTAAGTCAGTACATATACATCTCACAGATTCCTTTTTAAGTAAAACTTTTAGCCAAGTGCACAAGAGGTTACATTCATTTAATCACCACTCAGGTCAAGAAACAGAACCTGACTGGAAGTTCACCTCATGCCATTCTATCATCTCTTCCCGCCAGGGTGACCACTGTTCTGATTTCTCTCACTCTGTTACTTTTGCCCCATTCTGAATGTTTTATAAATGGAATCATATGCTTAGTACTCTTTTGCATCTGACTTCTTTTGCTAACATGATGTTTGTGAGATTCATCCAAATCAGTTTGCTTATTATCATTGCTGCATACTATTCAATTTCATGAAGATACCACAATTTATTTATCCATTTTAATGTTGGTGATTTTCAGGTTTACACTCTTACTGATGATGCGACTAGGACCATTCTAGTATGTGATTTGATAGCTGTGTATAGGGTAAATATCTATGAGTGGAATTTCTGGGCAATTGGGTTTGTGTAAGTTCAACTTCAGGAGCCAGTATCAAATGTTTTTGTAAAGTGGTTGTACCGGTGCATTCCTACCACCATAGTATGGAAATTGCAGATACTCCACACCTTTGCCAGAGTTATTGTTTGTCAGCCTCTTTAATTTTAGCCATTCTTTTGAGCTTACCTTGGTATTTAAGCCTTTAATTTTGGTTTCCCTGAGGCCTAATGAGCTTGAACACATTTTCATGTTTATTGACTTATTTGAATATCCTCTTTAGTGCAGTGTCTTTCCCATTTGTTTTATAGATTGTCTTTTTCTTATTGATATGTAGGAATTCTTTGTATCAGTATATGAGTCCATTGTTGGATAGATGTATTACAGATATCTTCTTCAGTCTATGATGTGGCTTTTGACTCTTTAATAGTGCCTCGTGATGAATACAGAGTCCAAATTTTAATGTAATTCATCAATCCTTTCTATTTTGATTAGTGCTTTTAGTGTCATGTTTAAATTTTTTTGCCTATTCCATGTTCATGAAGAGATTATGTTATTTTTTGTACTAGAATTTTATTTTTTTAAAAAAATCTTTCACAAGTAGATCTACAGTGCATCTGGAACTCATTTATACATGATATAAAAGTATGGTATAAGGGTCAACCTTCACTTTTTCTATGAATAATCGGTTCACTCAGCACTGTTTATTAAAAAGTCCTTCCCCATTGCTCAGCAGCATCAACTTGTCATAAACCAAGTAACCACATATGTATGGGTCTGTTGCTAGACTCTATCTATTCCATTGTTTGTCTGTTCTTGTGCCAATATCATGGTGTCTTAGTTACCATAACTTTTTATAGTAAATCCTGATAGCTAAGAATGTTACTCCTCCAATTTTGTTCTTCTAGATTGCCTTGACTAATCTTGTCCCTCTAATTTCTGATCAGCTTGTGCACCCACCATATAGCCTATGCTGATTTTAATTAGAATTGTAGTGAATCTAGATCTATTTCAGATGAATTGATATCTTTTAATTCATGAGCATGGTACATCCTTCAGTTTAATTAGGTATTCTTTAATTTTCAGTAATGTTAGGTAGTTTCCCTGAGCTAGCACCTCCAGTATAATGTTGAATAGATATAACGATAGCAAGGTGTCTTTGTCTCATTCCCAATATCAGGAGGAAAGCATCATAAGTTTATTATTATGATACTTGGTGTACTGTTTTATAATGCACTTTAGTAGATTAAGGAAATTGCCTCCCTTTTAGTTTGCTGCATTTTTATTTTATGAATAGGTACTGATTTTACCAAATACTTTTTTGGCTTCTATTGAGATGATCATATGATTTTTTCCTTTATTCTCTTAATGTGATGAATTATATTATGATTCCTAAGGAAATTTTTTTGTTTAAGTATAAGTATGGAAAAGTTTACAAATTATACTTATATTGCTCAGCGAATTTCAAAACATGAACATATATGTACCAACACCCAGATAAGAAATAAAACCAATGTCTTTACTAATATGGGTAGACCTCACTTTGCACACTTCCAATATGCATGAATCTCAGTTCATTGTTTAGTTAAATAACATCAG